CCCTGTACATCGAGTCGTGAACATAGATTGCGCTGCTTCAGTGGGTGAACGAGAACATTTACAATTTATTACTACCACTTGATGATCTATCAAAGCATCTCGAGGTTGACCTCGGTTTAAGTTACAATCAAACGTTGTTAAAAGCAATAAAAACGAGATTATTACTAATTCATTAGCTAAAATTAAACTAAATAACTGACATTTAAAAACGCTCTTTTGTAATTTTCTCAGGTTATCATTGAAGATGAAGTCTACGATATGCCCAAGGTATTTTCTTCATACAAATTGTACTTAACTCTCTCTTTCTTAAGTGAAAAAAAAGTTTCTTCTTACAATGTTTCAAGCAGACAGTTTATGAGGAGAGTGAAGAAAAACAACCACGGGATATTGTACGAGCTTACACTAAAAATTCTCAAAACTACTGCACTGTATGGCAAACAGAATGGATAATGAACTTACTACCTTGGTAGTTGAATTGCCAATGTTTGCTTTGTGAGATTTTAGTAGATTAATTTCTACTTCAGATTTCAGCCTAATGTCGTACGGGTTGATCACTTTTGCTCCAGTTTGCACTGTGATTGGTCGCGCTACATTCTTAACCAATCGGATGCGAGACTTAAACCAGTCGCTTCTTGGTCACATGCATTTCTCCCGCGCTTCAAACCATTTTCTGTGTTGCAATCAAGTTCTCATTGACTGTTTCTGACATTTTCCTCCGTTCTGGTTGGGCGTGGAGATTATGTTACGTTTAGTTTTGCGACAAACAATCCGAAATTCAATTGCGCCCTAATACAAGGGCAGTACAATATTAATTTACTCTTTTACTTTCCTTTCAGGGACAAAACAACTTGTTTCACACCATTGTCTTCTTCCTTCACCACGTGAAAACCAAGCAGCATGGAATGTTGGGGTAAGTCGGCCGTTTTCTATTGAAATCTTGTTGTTTTATTTTTTTTAAGCTTTTGCTGGTTTCGTTATGGTATCATAGTTCCTCCATCCGTCAGCTGGGTTTAGCACATACCGGCAAACTGTTTGAAAGTGTACGTGTACAAAATGTTAATTGAATTTCAGGACGATATTTTTACGGTCAGCAGCTTCCTTTTGAGTAAGACCATGTGAAGCATTCGAAAATTTCCGAACATGGTCAATCAGTTAAAATGATGAGTTTATCTTGCGATTTCTCCGAAAATGTCGACGTAAGAGATGGGAATTTCGGGGGGAGATTTCTTTCTTTATCGAATGCGTTCAATTCAAGATCACTTGCATGTAACTTGGATCTAAGAACAAAACCTTTTGTTCTCAAAGTTGATCCGCTTTTCTTAACACGGTTTAGCTGCTACTGTGTCTAACGTGATGTAAATTTATGGACTCATCTTTTTTCAGGCGAGTAAACTTGGGAATGTCTGGTGTGAACATTCTATGTATTCTGAACAAGAAGTGAGTGTAATCAACAGCCTTCTCCAAATTGACGAGGTAAAGAAGCTAAAGTTATTGTAACGCAAAGGAAAAAAGACAAGTGAGATCTTCTTGTCCAGCGGTAAACTTTCATCAGGTTTGACACGGGATCATTTCGTCATCGTGACTTCATCAGATTAATTCGAGACTAGGAGCGGTTTATGGAGTTGTCTAGGGAAGCCTGTAACAGCCATTTAGGATCCGTGCTTCTTAGAGGACTGTGATGGGTAAACGTGGCGTTTGCTCTCGAGATACTTGAAGATTCGTTTGTCACAAATCAGCGAAGGGAAAGAAGTATAAATTGCAGAAAAAAGGCGAATGTAATGTTTTTTTTTTATTTTTAACTGAGTGCAACTCACCTTTGGGAAGAGTTTGAGAGTTTTAGATCTTTTTAGAATTCATTGTAATTTGAATATTCATTATTTAACAGTTCAAAACTTCATATATTACCAGTAGAAGATTACATGCTACTGTCACTAGATAGAATTTACCTTTTGTTTTTTTCTTGCTTAATTATCACTTTTTTTCCATGTTTGATTAAAAAAGGCAGGATATGAACGCGAGTCCTTTTTAAAAACGTCTTTATGCGACCGTTTTCCCCGGGATGGAAGAGGAGGGGCTGGAGAGGGTGGAGGGGGGGGGAAAGAGGAACAAGAAACAAGTCCCGGAATGAGAATCCCCCCCGAAATGAGACATGTTTCTTGGAAGTACCGATTCGCATCAATGTCAGTATCTGAGAAACTGCGTACGCACCTACCCCTCCCTAACCTAACAACAGTCAACTGATACGTCATCATTCATGTCAATATAGTGGCCGTACCTCTTTGCGCGTGCCTCGTAATGAAAAATAAGATCACCATCCCAGGATATGTTATAAAAGAAATATCTATCTGTTAACGGATCAATTCAGCTTTATTATAAATTAATTTATATTAATTCATATCAGTGCTGCTCTTAAAACCTTTCTACCGTTACTTGTAGAATACTAAAGAAAACACCTCTGTACAAGCCAGTATTAATATGTCACAAAATGTGAGACACATATGACGTACGTACTCCGACTTAACTTGTGTCCGCTGTACACGAAGGTGAAGACGCACAAGAACACTCTGCTTTCTATAAAGACAGATACTCTGCGCGTTTTTTTTTTTTTTCTTTTTTTCAGTTTAGCCTATTGACGAAACTAACTCGGCTTTCGCAGTCGCGCGAGACTGAGTTTTCTAGGTAGAAAGGACTTAAGTACATCATTAGTGGGGTGCTTTGTAAAGACACAAACGTATTCACGGAGTCCCCAAATGAAGAGGAAAACAGGGAATATCCCTTGTACGATCATGTCGAAAACAGAGCCTTTGTGAAAACCCCTCGTCGCGTGTGAACGCGATCGTTGCGGAGAGTCCTTCTTGGAACCTTCCCCATCTGCGCATGCTCTTCAAATCACCCATGAAAAAGATGGCCTTCGTTTCCAGTCTTCCCGCGTTATTGTGGCCTGACCCTTGAAACATCAATGATTGTATGGCTCAAATCACGAAATCAAGCACAAGTATTAGAACCTTAAGGTAGTCTTACCGGTTCTAATCTGCGCTAAATTCTTAACATTTCGTTATTAAAATTCGAGATGATGTTGTTTTTTTTTTTTTTTTACCTTGCATTGATGTATTTTTAACCTGGGGATGAGAAAAAACTTTCATATTTCTAATCACAATATGTATAATTTTTTGAATAAATAACAAATCATATCTAAGAAGACTATTTCCTGCCAAAGATAAATAGCTCTGAACAGAAATTTCTCGCAAACCTGCATGGTAATCGTTCTACTAAATTAAATTTTTTTGAGAACTTTTAGTGTCCCTGCTCAATCTGAAACCGATTCAGAGATAGAAATTCTTTCATGGTAACAGCTAATGGTTTCGTATCTGTGCGCGACCCTCGCAGTAAAAAGCACTATTTAAGCAATAGTGAAAATAAGACCTGAAAAAAAAAACAGGTCTTTGCGGGATTCGAACCACTGACCTTTGCGATTCTAGTGCAGTGCTCTACCAATTGAGCTAACAAGCCAACTGGGAGCAGGTCATCAAATTAATTCGACGTGAAGCCGTAAGACGATGAATCAAACACAACGAATATATGAAATTCATATATCTGAACTGCGGTTATAGAAACATATTTGTGCACGATCCTAGCAGGTCAGTGATTCGAATCCCGTACAGGCCTGACTTTTTTCACTATCGCTTAAATAGTGCTCTTTACTGCGAGGATCGTGCACAAATACGTTTCTATAACCGCAGTTCAGATATATGAATTTCATATATTCGTTGAGTTAATGGTTTATTCGTTATCGAGGCATTTTCTATGGAGATAATGATTTTAATTTAGCTTAATGCAATTTTTTCTTACTGTTTGTGTTAATTTATCAGTATTCGAGCTCGGAGCCTTCTACCTTTGTTTAATAGCCAAGGCAAAAAAAACAAGATTCTCAAATTGTAGCTGATAGATCACCACTTTTTATGTTTGTAACGAAAAGGGATTCTTTTCGTTGCTATCAGTTGCATATGTTTCGTGCGAGTCTATGACGATGTCAAAGCGGTCTCTTCGCAGATTTTAAAGTCATTGAATGGAATATTTGTTATTTAACACTCAAGAAAATTAGTTTTGTGTTGTGTTCTTTGATCATGAAAAAAATTAACAGCATCTTAAGCTTTTTTTTTTTTTGATAAAAAGGTTCAGAAAACTTCTAACATCTCCATTGCATGTTTCAGCCGAATAAAGGACCTAAAAATTCAGAATGTTCAACGGCTAACGTATCAGTTCGTTCTTCGTGAGTCAATATTTTTCAATTATGTTGTCCGTAAGTTTGAATTAAACCTTTTGAAAAGTTTATTCTTTTGTCTTTATGTATGTTTTTCAATATATTCATGAATTAGAAGAGTTAGAAAAACAATCATTTTTATAAGACTTCACATGGCACAAATATTTCTTGTTAACGGGATTTCCAGATGATGTCAAACTCCGAAATAACATGCAAGGGCGTCTTTTAGCAAAAAATGCGTAACTGTGGGAATTCTTCATCTATTCAAAGGTAATGGAGAAAAGTCCTGATACGAAATTCTAAGGAGCAATTATGCAGTTAATATAGGTGTTTCCCTATTGGCGAGCTTTTTATTCTTTTCGCCATTGTAATGTTTTGGTCCTAACACCTTTTCAAAGAAGTTGTTTTCAGCTGGATGCATGGTGACTCATGGATATGCAAAATAACGTAGTTTTCGATGCGATGCGTTTGTCAGACTTGAAACCCATCTGAATAGATCTTATCGATCATAGACTGGTGATAGCGGTAATGTAGCTTTTTATCCAGTGAATAAACGAGCTTTTTGCTTCAATTTTGGATTTTAAAAGGAACAGTTTATACCTCATCTTTTTCAGTGATGCGTGTGAAGTTGTCTTTTCCGTGATTCTACCAGAAATCTTATAATTGTGTAGTTAGGTAAACAGATTTTCTAATTTTCTTAATTACTTTCTATTGACTCAGTGGCAACCTCGTGTTAAAAGCGAAGGGGAATATTCAACAAAATTTGCAGAGTTTTCAGGGAAGCAAATAACAAATGAGTGCATTTTTAATAACAGAAATTTATCATTATTGTCATTAGGTTAAGCTCACACCTTTGCCAAAAAAAATTATATTTATTCTTCGCATTTCTGAAATGTTTGTCTATGTCTATGGTATCTCCAACTGAAATTATGTCCTTAAAAGCGATAGCTTTAGGCGCCGTAGCTTTTCAAAAAACATGCTATGCATTTGATACTCTCTCTTTAAGATGGCCATCGTAGTAAAATTCCCTTTATAAGGCATTTTCTCAGGCATTTCTGATAGCGTAGTGCTTAAACAAATGTCCACATTTTTTTTACTTGGGATCTGACCTTCTCAAAAGATTACATTTGCGTGCATTTCTGTCCCGCCATCTGTTTGTTTTGACTTTCAGACTCCAGCTCTGAATAGGAAAAGCGCAATTTTAAGCCAACTCTCCGATATTACGTATGAATTTGCAGGTCTTGCCAAAGAAACTCCACTGCACGAGAATTCTTTATATGAATGATTCAGTTCGTCTCCGATGGTAGCTAACTTCTTGGCAACAGACTTAATCATCTCCGTGGTATGTTTATCGCTCGACTTGGTAACTAAAGCGCTTGGCGCTGTGCGAATTGAGTTGCAGTGTTTTCCGTCCATGGTCAGATTTGTGATGATTCGAACTATAAGCTCTCTTTGGCGTGTATCTCCTGCAAGAGTAAAAGTTATCCCAAGTTAAAATTGTTCTCAATACATGTTGTGATTACATAAGGTAGATTAAGTCTAAATTATATACTAAACACACGACTTGATTTATCCCTGATTCCGCCTAGTTTTTTCCTAATCCTCAAATACATCGAAGTGATAAATCGAGAAGTGGCCATTTTACTGCAAATGTAAATGTTTTCACGAGATCGTAAAATAGCCGAAGAAAGTGAGCGAAAATGGAATATTGGTTGTTTTCCTTTCGCTTAGGTGTGTCTCAAAATTTCGCTTAGGTGTGTCTTGAAATTTCTCTATTATTTTCAACTGTAGCCTTCCAATTAAATCATATCTAGAAAAAGTGCATTTCGACCCTTACTGCATTTTTAACTGTTGTATTTTTGTATCGAAAATATAATCGCAGATAATCGAATTTCAGAATTCTCCAAATGAGGAAAGAGTTAAGAGAGAATTAAATCGAGGAGATATTATAGAAATGACTCGTTGGGCGTCTAAAGTTGGCTACATGAGTGACAAGTGGAATTAGAGAAGTGCTCGAACCAATCTTACCTAGTGATTTACCCTTTCTAGTTGATTTAGTGCACAGTGCTCGTTTTGACGCTTCACGCTTCACGTCTTGGCGTTTCACGCTCGTCTCACTGGAGCTGGGATCAATCGTTGAATTGTTATGAACTCCGGAAAATATGCAGCTCTTTTATAGGTCCAAAACAATAACAACAAATCACGAAACTCGAACAAAATCTCACGAGATCACGTATCCATTGGCAACGAGGTATGACGGAAGGGCGTCACAGAACAACTGTTACGGGAAAATTTATTGATTTTTCCCTGTAGAAGTTTAAGCATAGTTATTCTTTGTTTTCGGAATTTTAGCGTTCTCGATTCATGCCAGTTTCTTTTATTGCGATGTTTTAAAAAGATAAAAAGCCACAAGTAAATTTGAATAGTCAAGTTAAACTGTACAGCTGCATCTCGGTACTTTTCTTGTTTAATTCTAGTGAAATATTTGGTAAATAAAAGTGTTAAAAGTCTTTCTGGAAAAATTAGTTCTCATGGTATTTGGCAGCTGAGTCTATACTTGTAACCTCAATTTCCTTTTTTTACGATCAAGCTTAACACAAACTTTACTTGGACAAGCGGAAACTTTTAATTGTATTTTTCATTTTGTTTTGTAAGCTGCCTCATTGTAATTTCCATGGGTATACTTTCTATACCAGAGCTGTGAATTCTCACCTAGGTTTCCTATTTTTAATTGGCTCGAGTTTAGTGCATCCGTTCTTTTAATTTGAAATTCTTTCCGTCGTAGAAACAGTTGGGAATATTTTAGTAGTTTTCGTTTAACTTCAAAGAGATCGTTAGCGCTTCTTTTGTTTTGCTGTTTTAATGTGTTCGATTCGGACAACAATAGCACTTCACATCAGTGAGTTGAAAAGCAGCTACCTTGTACGGTTCTGATGATTACAACCTTGATTACGAAACTGAAAAGACCAGAGGTCATGTCACTTGTTGGCCTGACCTGGAATAAAAGTTTACTGTGGAGCCAGTCCGTATAGGTTCGCTAGAAGTAGACCTCCGTATACCAGGAAATCGTGACGAGTTTCCGTTCTCGCTGCCGAGTGGTCTCTAACGAGTTAATTTCCCCCAGTTATTGTACATGTTGTGCCGTCAGCGAAGGTTCAGTTTTCCAGTTTAGCACGCGAAAACTTATCGTCACACAACATCACGAGAGGAAATTTTACAAAATTGAAAAATTATTTTAATAGTCAACGATAGAGACATGCAGTTTTCACGTTTAATTTTCATTCTTTAGTCCGAAC